TTTCTCTCATCCGCATCCCTCCTGTGTGGAAAGGTCTAATATACTGTAGAATAGGCTACCCATTACCAGAACACCAACTACCAGAAATCCAAATGTGTCCACTTACATGGACATAATCATGATTTATGAGTGCACAAAGTCTAATATGAGAAAGAAATAATCATGCTTAACAGAATAAGACTCCATACTTCCAATAAAAGGGCAGCCTGTGGGCCTGCAAAAAGTGCTAAGCCGAAGTGAGAGAAGGTCTCTCCATATTACCTTTCTGAAGCAATGGAGGGTTTGAGTAAGTAAAAAGAAATGCACAAAAAAAAGAGTTATTGCAGGTTTAAGTAACATAATAATAGACACCAGCATTGCTGTTGACAGGTTAGTTTAAATGCCAATTACAAGCTTTTGACAACAAAGTGCCAGACCTGTAAAATATAAGAGAAGTGGCACTCGGCACTTTGACAAGAGAATATATTATTTAATTAACGTGACACATTTATCAGAGCTTAAAAGAGGCCACACCATCTGTGCAACAGGCCAAAAGACGAACAGACAGATATATATTTCCTGTCATCCCGCAATCTCCTTCACTCTTAATTTGTTGTAAGTGCTCGTTGGGTTTATACCTTGTAAATACAAAACTGACATAACTTTTATTGAAAAATATATTTAAACTTCCGTCACAAGTACAAACTAAAATATGTTATTTGCAGGCCCTGGCCTTCACATTGAACTAAATATTGCACCAACAACACAAAGTCTAAATAATTAGTATTTTTTTTTTTTTCAAAATCTTGCCAAGCCAACAAATGCCCCTGACAGCAGAGACTCTGAACTGGTACACAGGTGATCTGTAGGTCATTAAAAAAGCGGATCACCACTGGATAAATCAAACTCATCAGGACAGCTATGCATAGCAATGAGCATCTGTGTGTAAATTAACGTGTCAGAGTGAGAGGGTCCTGTCCTAGAGCAGGTAGAAGTCAAACAGCTGTCAGGGGAACCAATTAAGCTCATGTTCCACTGCCATCCCACAGCAACACACACCAATGTTGTGTTTTCACCCCTAAAAACTCTGTCTACACTCAAGTTAAGCCATTTAGCCTGCAGCGTTTGTGAATATTTGAAAGCATTGCCGGAGGAAGAGAACGAGGCTGGCATTTCTCCTTCAAGAGAAGTGTCCAGGTACCCTGGTGGCAGAGGGCTCTGTCTAAAAACATGACAGAGGTAAAATACACAAAAGTCCCTCTGAGTCTTTGTAACTGCCTTTCTGTTAAATAAACTCTCCTCCACGTTTTCACAGCAGGTTTAACTTTTCAAGTAACCGAAAGGTTAGAAGGTTTAGAAGGACCTAAAAAATACAGATTCTTCTTAAAATAATTGGCTGGCACTAACATCTGGTATACATCTTTCCGAGATAAAAAAAATAACATTGTGACAACTCAGTGGAATAACACTCACTTAATTACGCTTTTTTCATCATATTAACTGTACAAATTGTTCAGAAAAGACACAATTCAAATCTAATGAAAGAAGAATAAATGTAAAACTCACGTAATTAAGTTGAATTTAACATAATACAGCTACCTCCCACACACTTCTTAGTGCAGAAAAAGCGGCCAGCATCCAACAAGGAGAGTTAATGAGGAACACTGGATCCTGTGACATACACACGATGTGCTATATTATTGCACTAACCCCGTTAAAAATTACAATGCAGACTACCAGCAGTAAGCTTTGGCCTTAACAAAGACGTTCTGCTGCAACACAATCAAGTACACTATGAAAGTCCTCATTAAGCCTTGCCTTACCCTGCTACAACCCGCCAGGGATTAAAATCACATACTGCACAATTATCATTAACAGTGTCCTGTTTACCTTTTATGGACCACTCGCCACACTGTGTACAGTCAGAGGGACTTTTGCAAACTTTTTAAAGCACCCACATCAAAGTATAGTGCAGCAACACCCTTGTTTTTCATCCACTCAACAGTCAGTTTTTCATGAGTTTTATGGAGCAGATGTGAGCCACCTTGTCTGAGGTAGGAACAATTTCATTGCATGCTACTCAAGCTAGAATGATAACCAAACACAGTTGCGCTACCTAACAGGTCCGTGGCGCAACACACTCTCTAAAACACAGTGAATTATGTCCCGTAATGTTCCACCACAGGTTACTGTTTAGGATGTCATCCAACTCAATTGATCATGAGACTACGTGTGTTTGGGGATCTGAAAGGCTTGCTGCGCCCGCTATTTCCTGGGGCAAAATCCTAAGTAAATCATAAATAACTCAACCCTGCTATCTGAATATCAAAGACAGAATATTTGTGTCTTTACAGTATCGCTCACTTAACTCACTACGCGTGCATACTGCTATCATGTAAGTACACATCTTTCCAAATACATTTATGTAAATTACAACATCTGGAAATGATTGCTGTTCTAGCCTCAGCAGACAAACACTGCACCACGAAAGGTTTAAGAGATTAGCAGCAGGAAATGTCTACCTTCCGACTGACATATGGGATTATTTGCCCCCGAAACATAATGGAATATATTTGTAATTAAAGGACCTGTATGCTTAGGGTTATAGACAGGGTCGGACTGGTCATCGGGACGTTCGGGACGAATCCCGATGGGCCGGTACTGAAGTGGGCCAGTCAGACGATGTGGGCCGGTCGGATAAGTCACTAGCACCCCCCGTTGACAATTTACTGGCTGTAATTACTTGCAGTACCGAGGTGGGCCGGCGGTACCGAGGTGGGCCGGTCGAGAGTCCCGGGCTGATTTTCCTGGAGGTGCAAATATCCTGGAAGTGCAAATATAAACAGCTAGCTAATGTACCAGGCAGAGCGCACTAGGTTTTTTTTCTGAATTAACGACCGAAGAAATCACTGCATGTCTTCGGATTACATCTCTGGACTTGAGGGGTGTGCTTTAGGTCGTTACCAGCGTAAACTAGAGCTGTGTGGGTTGTCGGATTGCCTTTACAGACTGCCTGCAGATGTATGGAAAAACGACCCTCGAAAGTGGCCTTCGTCGATTTTGGCTGCATCTACGTCTAATTTCTGGAAACACCAGGTGAATACCCCACTTGTCACAATAATATTATCATGCCATTATGTGTGGATATGTGGTATTTTAGAGTTGACTAGATATTGATTAAGGCAATAGACTATGATATTCAGTACAGGAAGCTTAGCAACACCTAGACGGTGTACGGCTGCTTGCACCTCGCGTAAAACGGCGGATACCGGAAGTACGGTGTCGCCCTCGGCCCAATACCTGTATGTGTGTGTGAAAGAGATTCTTTCATTACATATTAGAATAGAGAATTACGTATTTCTTAAATCCTGTTCAGCCCATAACCCCTTATAAGGCCCACATCATGACTGTTACATCTCTAAGCATATAAACAAAATAACAGCATCAAAATACAACAAACAACGAAAAATGCAGCCAGTACAAGAAGTTAAATCATAACGATCTAACTGCAAGATGATAAAAGATAATAGCCAGCAGCCTCGTAGCAGCACACAATATGCAGGAAGCACAAACCGCAGAGACTTACCTTGAAGACGGAAGAAAGACAGTTTGGTCCCAGGCTGCCGACAATATCCAGAGAAAACTCCGCTTCCGGGTTGAAGTTGTGTTTGAAATTCTCCTGCAAGTGCATGTTAACAGGCGAGCGTGTGTATATGAATATTAATTAATTGAAGCAACAGTTTTCTGCAGCATTGTTAGTAGCAAAGTAAGCTAAAGGAGTATGGCAGCAGATTAAACAAGTTATTTAGGAAAAGTAATTATTCAGTAGGCCGCCATGTTCAAATGTGCTATTGAAGGAAGCTCATCTCAAAATCTCCTAACTGATTGGTTGCCCAATTAAGTGGCAAGAGAGAGAGAGAGAAATAAAGAAGAGAGAGCATTCAAATAACTTTATTGACATCACCATATAGACTTTTTTTCCCAATGCAAACATATTAAAGACATCTAAACATGTCCATAACTATGTATGTCGAACAGTATTAAAAACTCAACATTTAATCAAATTAACCTGCAGCACCATTCTAGTGTTGGCTTGACACTTCCACTATCAAATGTAGCATAAAAACAATACATTCATTTCATGGGAGGCGTGTGGTGCAGTGGGTTGTGCGTTGGTGTTCGGACCAGGGGTCACAGGTTCAAACCCCACTGCAGTCAGCATGTCGTTGTGTTCCTGGGCAAGACACTTCACCCCAAATTGCTCCTGTGGGGATTGCCCACAGTATTGAGTATGTAAGTCGCTCTGGATAAAAGTGTCTAACAAGTGACATGTAATGTAATGTAATGTAATGTAATGTAATGGTGCAGCCATGATAAAACAAATAGTCTTTGTGGTGTAAAACATCATGTTTAATGAAGAGCTGCATTGCAGAATATAAATGTGTGATAAAAGAGGGTTTTCGAGGTGAAATGAAAAGGGAAACTGAAGGATTGTATCTCCCTGCCGTTAGAAATAATCAATACATTTGCATAATTGAAGAGCACCAATTGTATAATTTTATACTGTCTTTTCCTCGATATTATCCATAAAGTGACTCCAACAAACTTGTGTCCTCAGAGGTAGCACCATGCAGCACTCTAACATTACACAGTGAAAACTTGCAGCATATTTGACAGTTTATGATAAAAGAGCCTGGCTTCCTTTCAAAGTGAGAAACCTTTTGCATCTCCAACCTTTCCAAGTTAATGACAGTGTCAAACTACTCCTTGCGCTTGGCAGGCTGTTATCCACCCATCGCCTCTGAAGCTTTTAACCTCATTAGTATGTGGACTATATGCAAGGTGTAGAGACTGCATATAATGTAATGAATAGAGATGGGTTATGCTTGATGAACAATGCCTTTTTGCTATAAGACCTAAAAGCAACCTCTTACAGAATTTCCGTAAAAGTGCCTCTGTGACACGCAAGCTATAAGGCTGTGTATAAAAACAATTACACAAAAAAACCAGAGCAAACCACATTAGTTTCACAATCATACTTTATTTCCAGAAATAAAACCAGTAGACAGTGAAAACAGTAAGAATGAGGTTTCTCATCTTCAACTGAGGTCAGCAGCTTTATGTTTGTAAGCGTTGACAACGGTCTATGATCCGGATCAATACACAACATTAACATTCAAAGAAGTACCTCACCACAGGGATTTCACCTGTGGCCTCTCTTTCATGGCACAGCACCATATTCTGCTCTGATGTTTGACATTTTCCGTAAACCAGCTGGAGGTTATTAGTCTAACATGCAAGCAGTTTGGATGGAAACAACATTTTAAAGAAACATAGTAAACGGTGACATTTGGCCACTTACAGAAGGTTAGCTGAAACACCCTTGTTAGATTTTTGGTTCAACCTTTATGGCCGTCTCACATGGCTACTTAGAAAATAGAATACCTTTGCAAACAGACACACACTGGGAAAAGGAAAATAATATTAGAAATCAAAATGTACTTCAGAACCAAGTATCTTTAAATCCAGTTCAATGTTCATTCAGCATTAACAACCAATGTCATTTAAAGTGCTTAAGATTAGAACTTTTAAAAAGCTTTATTAGCTTTTTTACATTTGCATAAAAGGTTGCAAAAAACAGTGTAGCGCTCCCTTGTTTCAGCTTCAAGACATTATTGCACAGTATACACAAGACAGTGCTTAACGGCTGTAGTAGTTTTATAGTATTATGAATGTGATTAACACAATGACATTGCATATTATGGGGATATAAATAGATATACTACGTGGCAGATTTGAAGCAGTGGACTGTGCTGTGTCTGATGGGAAATGCAATGCAACACAGTCAAATATAAGAGAGTTACTCCAAAAATAAGCAAAGGCATTTTTGCAAGTTTAAGCACTCTACTTTAAAACCGTCAACAGGAGAAGGTAGAAGATGGCCACAAAACAACAGCTCCTCATTATGGTTTTACACATGCATTAACTCATTATTTGTGGCATCTTGAAAGCAGCGGACACTAGCTGTAGACCCAGAACAACAGATTGACACCTTATAAAGTTTATAGGGTCATTTTGTTAGCAAACAATAGCTTGTAATATTTACTCATTCACTAATTTGGAGTCATGTTTGTGTCCAAGTGTGTTTTTTTATTTTCTTCTTTGCAAATTGTTTTGCTAGCTGCAGCTCGATTGTTTCAGAAACCGGCTCGAGATACACTTTTTGTTATATTCCATGGGATGCTCTTAACATCCCGATAGCAATGAATATCTCAAGTGCTTTGACAAAAAAATCCATTAAAAAATGTCATCTGTGGAAGCCGTAATACTGTAAAAAGCACGACCAATCATTTTAGCCGGCCCGGCTAAACGGATTGGATTGCCGCCCTGTCTGTCAGCCTTCCATCTCGTGCACGCACAAATGTATCTCGTGCCCTCATTGGGCGTGCCGTAATTGGGCGTGCATTGCGCGTTCATGTGTGTTGGAGGAGGTGCTCTGTAAGGAAGTCTGAAGGAAGGGGCGGATTCTTTTCGGCTGTGTACTTTCAAATGTTAGTGCACTTGAGCCGGTTTCTGAAATGTACCTACCCCACCTTTAATCTTTCTCTCCGTCGTATGGTTTTGGCCAGGTAGGATACAGTAGGTTTTTCAGAGCTTTTTTTCACTGGAAACAGCTGCCTGCTCCATCTGGAAATGACCTTGATGGATATTGAAAGAGGCTAAAATCATCTTTCAAGCCGAGGGGACCTAGAGATTTACAGTAGGGGCTAATTATCTGTGGGTTTGTAAACGCAGCTTCTTATACACACACATCTGATCTGTTCTCGAAACACAAGTACAGATTATAGCAGGTGCAAATATGCCCCTGTGTTTTGTTCTTGCAGTAATGGATAATGTGAGTTTGGTGCTCATTAAGAAGTAATACTATAGAACAACCTGGGTGCTTTTTCCTGTTGTGCAATGCAGTGTGTGAGTCACAAAACGTGAATCAAGATCCCGCATTAGAATCGATCCAAGTTGCTACAGAGAGCCCAGTTGTGGTTTTGTTATAGCAAAGCTAGCAAGACTGATTGTCTTGAATGCTAAACTGAGCAGGGACATTGATTGGGGGATAGGGAACACAGCACAGGAAGGATGACAGTGCCCCGCTTCCCTGGTATGGGTCTGCCTTTGGCCTGTAGGCAGACACATCTTTCTCTCACACACTCACTAACACCACAAAAACACTGGCAGCCAGAGGTGTTTGGAGACGCACATACACACACAAACAGATGCACAAACATATAGCGGGAAACATTGATTTCCTGTTTGGCATAACTAAGCAGTTAGTGAGCCATTCTCCGGACCACGGAGCCCACACATTAACATGTTAAGTATTCTGTGTCACTCTCCTCTCTTACGCAAATCGTGACGACATTTTATAGACATTCACAAGCAGAAACGCCTGCCAGCTTATCCTGATCATAGCACATTCACTATTTCATCTCATCATCTATTAGTCTTTGCTCTCTCTTCACGCTCCGTCTTCTTGTCTCTCTCTGTGCATCTTTCTCATCCTCTCTATATACGTTCTGTCTCTGTTTTCATTTAAATAAATGGGTTTTTTTCTTGGCTTCCCATTGCAGTGTTGACTGCTTGGCTGGTTTAGCACAGTGTTGAATCTTTCCAACAGGTAAACACGCTTTATCAGCCACATGGATCCACATTTCCAGCCTCTACCCATTTCCAGGGTAATCCAGGGAGTGCCACCTTTTTCTTGGCTGCAGTGGCAGATGGATCAATGTGTACTTGGCGAGCTCATTTTGTGAAAACTACCAAAACAACACCAACAACACTTTTAATTATTTACTATAGAATTCAAAGTGTGTGCATGTAGGCCCATTTGGTTGGCTACCAGGAAGTGTGAACTGAGTTTTGTGTCTCTTTGAGTTTTATCAGAGTTCTTGTGCGTCAATGTATCTTGTGTGTCCGGATGTGTATGCGTGTTATATGTCTGTGTGTCACTCTCTCTCTCTTCCTGTCTCACTCCGTCTATGTAGGGTGCATTATTGGACGCAGTAGACCGGACAGTGCCAGAGGCGTACACCAAGCGGTCACGCGGCGTGACAGAGAAGAGAGCTGAGTTGCTGTCAGAAGGCCTTTTTAACACACTGCTGCTCTCCGTTCGGGAACATTTTCGAGAGCGTTTGACTGCAAAAAGGGCTCCGCAAAGGAGAGATAAACACAATTCTCCAAAGCTCCAACAGAAACACCACTAAAGCCCCAAAGGCTCCCTACCTGAAAATAACACACTAATACCTTTGATGTTCCCAAAGAGATGTGCAAGAGAGCGAGAGGAGGAGAGGGAGGAGGGGGGGAGGAGGGAGACACACACACTCATACTCACACATACACAACCTCACATTCAGTATACACACCAGGCAGCAGCTTCACACATCGAATGAGTTCCTGTAAGCTGATCTTTACATGTGTGGGTCATTAAGAATGAAGCAAGCATTACACAAATGCAAAAAAAGGTTGAATTGACCCTTTTCTCACATTACTGGAAATGTTGCGTGTTCTTTTTTATTTTTTTATTAGGACAAGGATTCAAAGACTCATATAATAAATTAATTTTGTTACATGCTTTTCTCCTCACTCAGGTCACACATAATGTTTCCTGGTACTCTTCACTGTTTTCCATCTCTAGAGTAGCCCTAAAATAACTGCTTCACACTGTTCAGTACTGTGTGTGTTCGCCTACGTCGTACCTGAGCACACTTAAGTGCGAGTGCTTTTGTACGCCGCTCTCTCAACTAAATGATGAAACCATCATCTCCACCACCAGCATGGTACTGTTTTCTATAAGCCTATATTCCCGTCTGAGATGCATTCATTGTACACAGAGGGTGTGAATTGCAACTGAAATAAAAACATGTATGCACTTCACCTCTACGTCTGTCATTTCTCACCTCCATACATACACTGGCACATTTACAAAAACACATTTTCTTTCTGGGAGTGACAGCTCCAGAGCACTTTGACAAATTTGTTTTTCAAACCAGCCCCCATGCCACTTCTGCTTTTATGTTATCCTTCTTTTTACCACTCTATATGTTTGCCTCCATCTGCCTCTGGGTCTTCTATTACACTGAAAAGGTCACATTTGTCACCTCCATGTTTGAAACCAAATGCACTTGTGTGTCAAAGGGCACAGCTACGAACTTAAACTTTGAAACTTCATAACAGCCAGCGGGTATAAAAAACGAAAGCTGTCCCCTCTGAATGGTAACACTATCATTCATTCATATGCATGCGCAATGCTTGTTAAATGGACGTTTCTTCTTTCATCAATCCCCCTGAACCTGAAAACTGTCACATACCACTATGGAAGATAATATCCTGCTCATACTTTATTTAAATCAGTTAATCATGTGGGAGTTGTAGATGTGAATGCCGCAGTCACAAAACCAATGTCAGTGACACAGGCAGTCCCTGATTGGTCCATGTGGGTTAATGAGCTCAGTGTATGTCCTGGTGACATCCAAAAGGAAAAACACTGACACTGTTATAATGTCTATAGGGGGTGAATATCAATGTCAGAGTGAATCCTGTTTTAAGTTCTGACGGGTGAGATTAGGCTCCTCAGGGAATCTTTGGCTTGGGGAGGCCTGAGCGACTCAAAGGGATCAGGATCCTGGCAGACCGAGGGTCTCTGAGTGTCCCCTGATTGGGCTCCTCCAGGCTGGAGTGGGAGCCCCGCGGATCACTGAAAGGCTCCGATGCTCTGCGAGGCTGAAGCAGTGAAGTGCGACATAGACTTAGAGACTGAACCTGGGGTCCAGCGTTAAAGCAGGGAAGGCCTCTAGACGGAGGGGGCAGCTGCTTGGTCCGGTTAGCCAGGGGTCCTAAAGAGCAGCCTGGCTTCAGAGAGGCGAAGCTACCAGCGCCCCCTGGCTTGAGTGCGGGAAGAGACACGCGCTTGTGAAGGCGAGGGGGCTGCAGCATGCGAGGGCTAGAGGAACCAGCAGATTTAGGAGTGACAGAGCTCTGCGAAATCACAGCGGGTGCCCCACCTCCACGCTGGGCTGCAGACTGAGCTTCTGATGCTGCACTGTCTCTGGCAGCGAATCCCTGTGGAGCTGCAGGACGTAGGTGGGTGCGGAGGAGACGAGGCAGCCCGTCGGGGTCTGCCGGCTCAGACACATCTGCCATGGGGTCATCAGGAGGACAACAAGCATCATTGTGCGTTCCTTCTTCCTCTGATCTACTCCTTGTGAAGTCACTGTGGCCCTCGGTGGGGGGAGTTTTTACTTGTCTTCCCTGGTGGAGGTGCTCGTTGAGGCAGGGGTTGAAAGGCTGAAGTATTTGAGGCTGTAGAAAGAGAAAAGATCACATTTAAATGTTTAGAAGATGGGTATAAAATAGCCAAGGAACAGTCAGGGTATTAAGAGGTACAACTGGTTTGTTTTGATCATATTCCACAAGGGGCAGGATTTGAAAAAAATTCACAGTTTTTAGTGAACCCTGTAGACTCCCAGCTTTTAAATATTCTGCTGCTTCAAAATTCATTCTGAATCAAAGAGCACATCAAAAAATCTGCCTTTTTATGATGTGTTTACTCTTTAAAATCATATCCTGTATCTACTGCCAGTGACTCAACTACTACACTGCCAACGGGAGAGGCAAAGTCACAGAGGAAGCCCTGATTCAGCAGATAAAAACAAGCTGAGGAGAATAACCTTGCCATGCGAAAGCCCGGGATCGACTGAAGTCTTTGACTCGTTCTGTGATCGCTGCCGCAGAGGGACTCCAAAATATAAGAGCTATGATGCCTGCTGCCTGTGTTAGAATGTGCTGAGTCGTTAACCACATGAAATGTAGACCAACCGTGGTGTTGTCCTCCACCAGGGGACACACAGGGAATGAACACAAAATCATAAACACCTGAACAATATAATGCCATTCTTAAACAGAACAATTACCGTCTCAGTGAAGCTTATTATGTTCAGTAGTTGTTGTGCTAGACAGCTGCTAATTATCCAGCACGACAAAACAACAAACTAGGGCTTCAAAAGAGTTGAGTGAAACCTCTCTGCTAAGTCATAATGAGTTTCTGTCAGAGTATTTGTTTCAACAGCACAAAATGTATTGGATTGGTTTCAATTGCACGTGTTACATTTAAGATTTAAGATATCACCAACACTGTAAGCCTGAATGATGTATAGGAATATAAAATAGCTTTAACCTTGGTCACAACAACTTTTCTGCATTACATTTCCAGATAAGCAGCGGCATAGAAGGCCAACGGTGCTAATTAGTCCAACCAACAGCAAGAGCAGAGATGCTCAAATCAGAAAAACTAAATCAATATTGATGTGAATATCTTAAAATGTATAAGAGTACATTTTCTGAATTGTTTATGACCTCAACATCTATACAAATCTGTTATACTATTTATTATGCTAGTTTGAGACAGGCTACTTTAAGGCGTACCGACGGCACTTCTGCCAGCTTTTTACTGGACTGGCCTTTTTCCATCAATATCCTTTGAGCAGAACATAAAGTATCCAAATCCACCTGGAACCATCTAAAGCTACATGAAAGCCTGAACTCACTTTTAGCAGAAACATACCCTCTGTGAGTTGAAAGTATAAAGATATCTGAGGGTGTGAATATATAGCTGTGCAGGTCAAGCTACTCCGCTCGTTTCTACCATCAGTCATTCATATTGTATGTGGGAGTGAATGTCCGAGGCCACAGCTCCATCTCCTGGTCCCCTGCCACAATGCCTCCGCTGGCCTTTTGCAAAACCCTTGTCCACTTCTCAGCGTCTGTTTGTTTTTCAAGCAATGCAATACTGATATTTGTTTTTTAAAGTCTGTCATTTAAAACGCTCCTATATAAAGAATGTTTATGTTGCTTTTCACAACAACTCTGATTAGTCTGTCACTCAAATCATGGCCATGTTATCAAGATGTTTCTATCTATATGTTATTTTCCTTTCAGACACAGTTCAAATCTTAACTGCTGAACGCCATAGTTCAGAAACAATATACAAACATTTCAACATTTCACTGATTACAGGTGATAAGAAAGTAAATCAGAACAAATCATCATTATAGATAGGACTTGTACTATGTTTCAGTTTATATAATGTTGTTCCTGGGAAGAATACTGACTGAAATGACCATTGTCATATTGTAAGGCTATAGGGAAATAATGACATTTATTTTTTTAGCTTTGCATTGGGTGCATATATTTATAGCTGGCGCATCTGGAGGAAGCCTCTGACAGTGAAGGCATCATGCAGGATCTATAGGCTTACAGTCGGTAATCATTGGCATCTACAGCTGTCTGCTACAGATACTAATAATTAGCAGCAATCCTTTTTGAGCGCTTCCTTGCACTGCAATGAAGTTAATATCTCAGCCCACTAAACAAGAAAGATGTCAATGTGAATCTTTGACTTTACCATCTCATCTCCAGCCTCTTTCACTGTGAAAAATGGCCGTGTAGGGTAAATTATGTAAATGATCCCTGTTATGTCTATGGTAAGACAATGAGATTGCAGCACATAAGATAAGAGTGACAATATGGAGGCGATCCATTTAAAAGAAAGATTAGACTTTGCATAAGCATTCATATCCGTGGTCGTGAACATTCTGGTTTGATTTTTGATATACTTTATTAATCCCTCGTGGGGAAATTGTTTCTCTGCATTCCCATCCTACTGTTAGGAGCAGTGGGCTGCCATTTTGAACAGCGCCCGGGGAGCAGTGTAGGGAACGGTGCCTTGCTCAGGGACACCTCGGTAGCACTTGGTCTTGCCGGGACTTGAACTGGTGACCTTCCAGTTGCCAAGCCAAGTCCCTATCGACTTCGCCACCACCACCCCAATGGATTGGATTGTGTTCAAGTTTAAGAAGTAGAAATAGTATGAGCGCATAGGGTGTATAATCACTATGATTTGTCTTGAGCTTGCTGTGCTTAACTGCTTTGATAGGGGAGTAAGTATAAAGGAAATTGCTAAGCAGTGATGTGCATTTACGTGCCAACACACAGGATATTCTTAAATGGTATCGCTTTCAAACCAGACCTGGAAACCTAGAATGAATAAAGCAACTGGTCAATTGATCAAATACAGCAAAAAAATCCACACAAAGAAAGACTTACCCATGCATGCATTTCGTTTTGTTTATACGTATTTGATAGAAGGCAAAAAGGAAAAAGACACCAAAAACCAGGTAAATTCAAAGTGAAACATTTGACACAAAACAAAGAATCACAGCGGATTTCATTAAGAAGAGCAAACCAAAGTATAGATACACAGGCTCAAAAAGTTAAAAACAACGGAAAATCCAACCCAAAGCATGCAGACGCAGATTTAGAAGAAACATGCTTCAGTCGTGCATCATGACGCCAAACCACAGCCCAGCGTGCAGGAGGCGGGGGGGCAACCAGTCAACTGCATGTTAAAGAAACGTTACTGTACCACGCCACGTCAGTGAAGTACTGCACTAGGTGCTCCACTCCTTGTCACAGGCATTCATTGTGGGGAGGCAAAGGTATAAAGAGAGAGAACATGGGATGAGATGAGATACAGAGAAGAAAGGGTTGAAGGATAGGGAGAGAGAAAACAGCAGACACTTAATGGGGTTAAAACATTTAAAATCCAGTATTAACTTCCAGCCCATGCTTGCAAGGAAAGGTCACACATTAGATCAACAAACAAACCAATGTAATGCAACAATTACTGCTTCCTCCACTCAGCACAACCAGTGAAGAGAACAGACCATTTTAATTTTCTATTCTGGAGACATTTGTCAGCAGCAAAAACTCTTTGTTTGTTTGTTCACAGCCATAGCTCTCAGTGGGAGGTCGAGCAGCAGTCAAATCTGTTGTTTATCATCTTAAATCTATTAAACCCACTATATTCTACTATGTTTTCGTCATTCCTCCCACTGTTTTTCTCCTACAGTACAGACTGTTTGGTTTCATTACTGTAGAAAACCATATCAAAACAGTCTTCAAATACAAGAGAACTCGAGACAAACACCTGAGACATATTAAGTGAAAATTCACCTGTGCTACATTTTTAACATCTTCCCTCTTGATACAAAGCTGAGCCCCAAGGGGATAAATAGAAAGAAGACAGCGTGGGTTCTTGTCTTTGCTTCTTTCTTTACTTTTTCGCTCTTTGCTCACTCACATGTGTATTTTCCTCTCGTCTATTTATCATTCTCTACTTGCTACCTCATCAGCACACGCTTAACACAAAAGATTTGTTGTCTGTGTTCATTGATGTGACAGTGCTGTCATTGTTTCAACTGTCCTGTCATGCTCAATAAAGTTAAAGTATTTTTGTTGATAGAAAAATGTTGCAAGTTGTTTACAACCTAAGCAATAATGGAGTTAGGGTCTTGTGTACAATTTCTTAAAGAACAGAAGATAGATCCTCTGTTCCAGCAAATTAAATTGGATTTTGTACTTTTGCAAAACAGTTGCAGGGGTCAAAGCGAGATTTATAAATGCAAGTTTCTGCATTTTAGTCAGCAAGTTTCTGACTGAACACAGCTAATTAAGGCGAACTGAAGCTATAAATGGGCAGCACAGAGAAAAGGACACAAGCAAATTAATTGTTATGGGACAAGAAGTCAGACGGCGTTTAGTAAAACAAACAAGGAAAAACATTTTGTACGTTGCTAATCGTGTACCATATTAATCCTGAAGTAGACGTACAGCACGAATTGTCCTGTAATTGAACTGTGAGAAAAAAGGGTTCGACTAACAGCAACAACCATATTTTCACACCGGTGGATAGGTTGTTTTATGAAAAGATGAAGAAGAGGCTGCAAAGGATGTTAGTGACTCACTCTGCTGTCTGCGCTGGGGCATGCTGGTACGGTTCAAGCCCTGGTGCTGTGCGTGCCACGGGGACAGCAATGGGGGGGGCAGCACACCCTACGCAGAGAAAAACACAAAGGACAAGAGGCATAACGTACCAGAACACACACACACACACACACACACACACACACACACACACACACACACACACCACACACACACACACACACACACACACACACACACACACACACACAACACACACACACACACACACACACACACACACACACACACACACACACACACACACACACACACACACACACACACACACACACACACACACACACACACACACACACACACACACACACACACACACACACACAGTGTAGTAGAGACTCACACCGTGTTAGGGTTAAATCAATGCTATTGCTATAGTATAGACTTTCTGTTCTTTAAATAAAAAACTCATAGTATTAGTGTTAAAAAGGGTTAGCGTTAACATCAAGTCTCCCTCT